CCTTTTGATATGATGTTTTGCTGGTCTGCTGTCTTTCTGTTTCTTTGCATCAATTCCTTCAGTCCCTAAATAGGATTTTAGGTCCCCCCCACCCCTATGCTTCTTTACGTTTACAAGTACTTATTACATACTGGAATTAGTTAAATCCTATTCTCTTTCTTTTGAAGATGCCAGATAGTATAGGCTGTCATACAGCTGTACTGTTTTACTTAAGAATGTCACATGCTTTGTTTGTTTCATAAGAATTTGAAATGGAATTTATGTTACGTGTTTTGAATATTGAGGTGCTCAGCAATGCAATTAGTAGAGAAGTTTGGATGTAATCCAGTGATTTGCAAAGTATGGTCTCTGGTTGGCAACATCATCATCTCCTTGTTTGGAATGCAAATTCTCTGCCTCACTCCAGACCTACTGAATCAGAAATTCTAGGGGCGGGGCCCAGCAATCTGTGTTTTAACAAATTCTTGAGGTGATTCTGATGGCCACTGAAGTTTCAAAACCACTAATCTATTCATTCCCTTTAGAACTTCAATATTACTTTTCCAAAAACTTTTGGCCTGTAATAGAAATCTTGCTTTTACTATTGTATGCAAAACTTTCCAGGAAAACAAACATTTTTTCCCTACTCATTTTACAGATAAAGGATACAAAAAAGAAACACAGTACGTGCTTTGTGTATTTCAAGCCTGTTGGCTGGGCAGCATGTATGTTGGCCAGGACAGGTGTGATTGTTGAGGGAGACAGGACGGGGAATTTTGAGATGCATTTTCTTTTTCATTACACTGTTTCTTTTGTTAACAAAAGTCAAATACCAAACGGTGATTATTTTAGATGAAAATTGTATTGGTTTAACATTATATCACATATTAAATTTTCTTAGTAGCATTTTGAAAATACATTTGCTAATTGTCAAAGAATGGATTGTATAATGTTTCGTCAACTTTTAAATTCTGTTTCAGTGAACACTTACCAGTAAAGATTTGCATTGAATTATCTTAGATGAAATATGGGTCTCACAAGAAGGACCCTTTATAAGTTCTCATGCCAGCTTTCTGATGTGTAGATACTGTTTGGAAAGACATCTATATCCGTCTATCTATGTTGCATAATTTTTGTGTTCTTAATTCTTTTCAGTTGATTTTTTAAAAATCTGTCCTATGATACTACTGTAGTAAGATTAAAATTTAAAGCAAAATGTTTGTAATTTTAACTACCTTCGTAGCATACTTAATAGTTTGGTTATATTCTCTTATTTTTATGTTTTGTGAAAGTTTGATAAATGTTTTTGAGGACTAAATTTTGAGAGGTCTGACTAGTATTTTCTTACTTCACATGAATTCACATTGTAGTTAGCTGAAGTGATGCATGTTGCTCGTGTATTGACTTAGGGAAAGTTATTAGGATTACAGAGTGGGTTGCTGAAGTTGGTATGGTTTTTTATCTTACACACCTAGGACAATAGTCATTCATTTAAATAGTCATGTATTTAAATGTGAAAACTAGGTCACATAGTGAAGTCCAGTAGTGCTCTAAAAAAATCTATACTGTTCTAAAGAAAATCAAGTAATAGTAGACATTAAGAACATTTAATATGCTCTGCCTTCCTTGATTTCCCATTTAGTTTGGTGTCTGGGACTCTGCTAGTTTGTATTGTTTGCTGGATTCTTTTAGCTTAGTAATATAGGAAGCAGCAAGGTACCTCAGGATGGATGAGAATTACCATGAAGTGTAGCTCATTTTAGTAGACTTGTGGATGCCTAATGATTTTTGAAACATGATGGCTGCCTTATATATCTTTTTCAATCTTCTTGGTTTTTGTAAGTTTAGCGTATCCTTTTATTGCACGGGTGGTAAAATAAGGTGCTTCATTCTTCATTTTAAGGCCATTTGCTGCTTTAAGATCTTTTTGTATAAACCTCTTATTCTGGTAAAACATGCACAGAAAAAGTTTAAATAAATTATTGGCAGATGTTTCATTGACAAGCAAACACTTGAAAGCCGTTTTTTTCCTATGCATTTAGTTAATGAATTAGATTACTTTTTCCTCTTTAGGAATAGTTTTGATGCAGTTTTTAAGATTGGATTTAGTAAACCATTCTGACTTTGTTGAAGTTATTATGGTATAAAATTTTCCTTGAAAAAGTTATTTGTTTTTTAAATTTTTCTACTTAGAAATGTCATTTTTCTTCAAACAAACTTATAATTTGCATGACACATAAATTTTAAATTAGGGTTTATAGGCACATTTGACCAATGTAAATTGAGAATGTTTATACATAGCTTATTTCTTAAAGTTTAATAATGTGTGCCAATGAGTGAGAGTCACTCAAATTAGTATTTACTGACTTCTATAGAAGTAGACTTAGTGTGCCCTAGGGGTTTATATATATGAATTGGCTATACCCCCTATCCTCCCACAAGTCAAGGGAAGTAATAACCTTTCCACACTTCTGTCAACAACAGTAAAACAATTCACACTAACACTTGAACCTCCCTCGTAGCTTTACTAAAGTGAATATCCATCATCTTCCAAGTTACCTTGCACTACCTGCAGTATTTAAGAGCCCATTGATCACTTTCCCTATTAAACTGTTAAAATAACAAGATCAGATGTTGATTATCAAACTTAGTGTTAATTTCATGGAGTTTGATATTTGTGTATGCACAAGTGTGCTGTTTTAACTGATGTCTCACTTCGTTTGTGATTACAACTAGTGGGGGAAACCTTGTTATGAAGTTGTTAGACTGGGATTTCATCAGGAAGTCTGACGGTACATTTGAATTGTTGGTCCTCTGCAAGAAAACAGAATGCTGCTTTTGACGGAATAAGCCAGGACAATGAGGCGAGGGGTTTTATTTCAAGGTTTTCTTTGGTGATGGCATAAATACATAACAGGTTATGAAATCCAATTACTATATTAAATTTCATCACTTGTTTTTTAGGTATTCCAATAACTGTACCACCTCCAGGTAAAACTTTTTTTCATGTTTTCTCCATCATTGTTAATAAACATGAAATTTCAAGCTTACAGTTACAGGAGGGACAGTGTTGATGTGGTTAGAATGTGGAATAGGCTATTGGGATTTCAAGGTCCTATTTTCAGCTCTGCCTTTGCTTCATTCGAGTTTTGATTAAGATATTTAGTTTTCTTATACTTGTCTTACCCATTTCTGTAGAAATAGACATTCTGAGAAAGTTTTTACCATATCAATTTATTAAAGAAAACAGTATAGGATTAAAAATAAAATTTTTATTAAAAATTGTTTTTTCAGACCAATGAATTTTTTATGTATGATGAAGTGACTGCAAGAGAAGAGAAAGATCATTTATCTTGACTTTATCATGGTTTCTGATTTTTTTATTTTTACCCTGCTGGCATAACTCAATGTTGTGAGAAAGTATGTTCTGAACCACACAGATAGGTTGACAGCTGGACAGATGGTTGTTCATAGAGCAATGATTAAATTGTTCATTGTTGTAAGGATATGATCAATAGGAGTTTATATGTGGCCCAGTGTTTTTTACATTTTTTTTCAGTTCTTTTTAAATTTTTTTATTTTTTGGTAGTGTGATACAAATATGATAGCAAGTGTATTTACTGAGTTCAGTATTAAAAGTCAAGAAGTATAAAGAGAATGAGAGGTGACAATGCTTGGAAGGGTGGGTCTAAGTTCAAAATGACCTTGATAAACAGAAAATAGTGGAGTTTAGATAGCATGGGATAGTATACATATTTAGATGTGGGATAGAGAGTCACTGATTATGTATGAATATGGCTGAAAAAGACGTACTAGGAAAAGTCATAAAGGAATCATTGGTGTGTCTTTATAGGTTAAAAAGAAGTGATTGTAAGGCTATATAAAGTAGGATTGTGACTCTAGGACTAATGTAGTAATTGCTAAATTTTACACTGCTAAGATGCTTAATAGAGGAGAACCTAAAAACTGGACACAGTGAAGATGAGCATGGTGAATTTGAAACAGCTTGAAGCAGGGCTAAAAATGGATTTAAATGGACTTTTGAGAAGGGTTAGGAGAACTGGGGTTCATTTTTACCTAGAATACTAAAAAGGCTTAGTGGAAGTGTTTTCAAACATGTATTTCAATGGATTGCTTTTTGTCCTCATGCAGATCAGCATATGAATTGTAGTGAGAGAGATTCGAATTATATAATTTAATGTGCTTCCTAATAGGGTTATTAAAGCTTGGCAGGAATTGGTGTCATAAGGAATTGGTATCATAAGTTGTAGAATCTTCAAGTCTTGTTGGGATATTTTATTGCCTATCTGAATTTGAAAGTGCAGAGTAGATTTAACTGTTAAGGTCCCTTGTAGCCATACTCTGTGGTATTTCATTTAGGTTTTGTGAATTATTCACAATGCAGACCTCATGATATAAAGGTGCAAATTATTTCATTTCTAAACTAATTTAAAAACTATATTATGTGCTTTTCTTTATAAATTAGTTCTTTAGGGTTGTGCTATTTAAAACGTATTTTATGATGGATGTTCTCAGCCTTAAGCATTTATATATTTACTGGTAAGATTTTATTTATAAATTATACATTTTAAGGAAATTTATATACATCTAAACTCTCAAAATATTTTTTGAAAGAGGTAAATGCTATTTTATTTGCTTTTCTTCTAAAATACTTAAAATATATCTGGTGGCAACACTACTACTGTTTTATATATGGAAAAGGTAAGGCATTGAGATTAACTTTCTCACACTCACAAAATGGGCTGTGTGTGGTGCTGAAAATAAGACCGGGTGTCCTGACTCCCAGTTTGTGCTCTGTGTATTAGACCAGACTGTTCATTTAAAGTTATATTCCTCCAAAAATCTGTTCATAAATTTAAGCTCCACTTTTTTTCTGTCCATTATAACATAGAGAAGCACATTATATCCCCAGAGAAATTTAGTGACACACAGCAACCTTAACTCTTGGCATTAAGTGTACATTCTGTTAACTTTTTTTATCTTATGATTGAATGTTTCAGGTTTTCCTCCTCCACCAGGCGCTCCACCTCCGTCTCTTATACCAACAATAGAAAGGTAATCAGTATGGGTACTGTAAACTTTATCATTGATAGGCTTCTGACAGAAGAATCATATGTATCTTGGTAATATTTTCAAAGGTTTAATTTTATAAACAATAGTACCTGCCTTTTAATTCATAAGTCTAGATCTGTATTAGTTACTTTTATATAAGATGTTGGACCTATAGCCTAATAACAAAACAGGACAAAGAAAACTAAATGATAGTATTTTGAAATATCTTGCTTTGATTTACGATACTCTTATTAAAGAAACCCCTAGATTGTAAAATCTTGGCTGTAGTCAAGTTTTGTGGGATGTACAAACAGATGATTAGTAATCATGAATAATGCATGTCTGTTTTAGGATTAAGTAAGGATAACTATTTTCAGGGACCACAGTAAAGCAAAGCTGCCTTATTCCTTGCTACCCAGTGCAACTCAGCTTCCACAAAGGGAGATTGGATCCCTTCTGCGTGGCGGTAGCCTTATTTTTTATACCCTGCTTTTATGGTTTATGTTATTTGGAATGCTGTGGTAAAGAACATTTACCTCATGGATGGCAATACCATGTTTAACCCCATAGGTTTTGGAATCACACTAACCTGGTTCAAATTTGGCTTCAGAATTTCCCAGCTTTGTGTTCTTAGGCAAGGTTCAAAACTATTCATTGAGACTCAGATTCCTCTTTTACCAAATGGGGGGTTGATAGAGTTGTGAAGATTAAAACAGCTAGTGAATATAAAGCATCAGCACCATTCTTTGCAGATAGAAATAACTAATAAATGGTAGCTATTATTATTTCCTCTTAAGTGGCAAATAAACTCTATAAAAAATACTGTATTTCTGAAAAAATGATTTAAACTATATAAAAAGAAAAATTGTGAGAACTTTACATCAATAACATCAAACCAAGCATATGATTTTCAAACAAAATGATAAAACTCGGTGAAGTGTGACTTGTGAGACCATAGGATTTAATTTTAAGTTCTTGTTAAACATATATTTGTTTTCACAATCAAAATGTTAAAAAGTAGTATTTGTTGATTCTATCAGTAGCGCTGAATTTCTGATTTTTAATTATTAAAGTCAGTTTTTTAAGGCAAAATTTTAACTAAAGTCTGAAATACTTTGTTAGCCTCGAAGTTTCTGTTACTTATTGTGAGTCAGGCTGAATTGATTGGATTACTCATGTTAATACTAACAAGCTATATTTTCTTTACAAGTAGGTGTTAGGTTTTGAGGTTAAACAGCTTGTGTTTTTAAGTATTAAAAAAAGTTACAGAATTACAGGTACCATTATATGGTGATTAAATAAAAGTCATAATTCTGCTTTATGTTTTGCATTTGCACCTAATTATTAAAATTCAGAACTTCCTTGCAACACATAAAAATATATTTTTCTTCGACAGTGGACATTCCTCTGGTTATGATAGTCGTTCTGCACGTGCTTTTCCATATGGCAATGGTAAGTGTTATTTTTTAATTGCCCAGATTCAGTTTGAATCAGTAAAGTACTTAAGTACTTTTAAAACAATAGAAACATAGTTCCATTGTTTAAAGTACTATCTTACAGAGCAATTAAAAAATATTTACTACAGGAATAACTAGGTCTTACATATATTCCAGGTCACTTAACAGAATACTTTTCATTTCTTTACCAGCCATACTTTTAAAAATTAACAAATGGTGACACAACAGGGATATTTGTCCCTTGCCTTTTCCCAAAAGGATTTAGGATTTGTCACCAAATTGTCGATCTTCACTGTCCATAATCTTTTTTGTTTCTTAACTCACGGTATCTGACTAACCTCTTTCTCATCTTTCCCCCTCACTGGTTTATCTTTTCTTCTAGATCATTTGGCAGGTTCTCCTTCATGTTCACTCTTGACAACTTTATCCCTTCTAAGGCCTTCTAATACCACTTTCTGCTTAGATTTCTTGATCCATTCATTTATTTTAAAAGAGCTGTGCATTGTACTAGGTTTTAAGGATACAGTAAACTAGACATAGGTTTGCTTGCCTTCAACAAATTATAAGCTAGTGAGGAAACAACCAGGTGACAGAAGAGGGTATCATAGGAGCATGATGGAGGGGTCTCCCACTCCACTGGAGTGGGGTGTAGATGATTTGGGGTTCAAATCATGTTCAGAAACATGGGGGTGTGAGAGAGTGTGGTAGGCTTTATGAACTGAGTGAAGTGTGGTGTGGTTGGAGAGTAGAGAATACGATGAACATCTAGAGATGAGATAAGAAATGGTGCGGGGGCATTACAGCCATGCTGTAGAGTTTAGACCTTAGTCAGAGGGCTGTGAGGAGCCATTTAGTTTTATGCTGATTTGCATAATTGTTAGGTTTACATTTGAAAAGCGTCCATTCTGGCTACTTACTGTGAGGAGATTGGGGATTTGTAGTGTGGGAGAAAGGTGGGAAGGGCAGAGATGCCTGCTTGATTGGGAGAACAAGAAGCTGTTAGAGTAATCCAGGGGAAGAAACTTATAGTCCTGAATTCAGCGGATACCATGGGGGATGGAGAAAATTAGTGGTTCCAAAGGCATTTAAGGAGTAGAATTTGTAAGGCTTGGTGAGAGATCAGATATTTGTATCAGTCATATACTTTCAGTTAACCTTCTAGGTTTCTGTGTCAGGGTTTTGTACTGTCCTTCAGACCCACCTTGTTCAAAGCCACATATTCCATTCATTCACATCAAAAGGTAGTCTTTCTGTTATTTGTTTCAGTGGTTATGTCACATTTTTTCCCCTGGGCTCCCAGGAAGTCATACTCTTTGGGTTGGAATCTTGCTTCCCCCTCTCATTATTTATGTGACTTTTGTAGATCTTTAACCATTAAATGGAGAGCATGATTCTTCCTCATAAGATCAGAGAGAATACACTGAAGCATGTTAGTCCTGCCATTTAATAAACACTCAAATATTAGCTGTTACTTTTCTGATTATCCCCATCTCCAACAAGCTCCAAGTTCCTTCCCTTTTCTGCACTTGGAGGCGGTTATTTTTCACATCTGTTAATTGAAGCTTGAATATAAAGGACTCAGCACAGTACCTGTAATATGTACATACTCGATAAGCATTACTTATAAAATTAATTAAAATTTATTTTTACCTTTTTTATGGCACTTAACATTTTCTGCTTTGTCATTAAATTCCTGTATATTTGTTTCAGTACAGATGAACTTGAGGAATAGCCCATATCAGAAAGAATAAGACTTTATTCTTGAGATTACCTGCTCAGTTTCCTTGTGGAAGATTTCATTTTTAAAAAACTGGCTAATTAAGCATTTAACTTTTTCTCAAAGTAATACATGCACATTTTTAATAAAAAAGCAAGAGTTTTCTGCTCACTCTTTACCACCCCCTCAGAGATGAGCGGTTTTCCCCCCTTTAATGAGGATGTCTTTAGTACTAACAATGATAAAGCATAGCACAAGAATTAAATAGAGGAAAGTTAGGTTTCTTTATTCCAGTCAAACAAAGCCTTGGGATGAAGATGATAAATACTACTTCCTCTTTATCGGTAATTCTGTTTTACTTTTGTTTATTTTAGAATTTTGTAGTTCATCCTCAAATACTACTAAACTAAGTAACTGTAGATGGAAAACAATGATTTTTCTTGATGTGCATATTAAGATTGTGCTTACAAAGTAATACCTAGTTTAAAAGTAATCTTTGCAGGAATATTGAAGAACTGCAGAGACAGACATTTTTAATGGTTTTTAGTTCTTTTGATGGTCTGCATGGCATTTCTGCATAGGCTTATCACCCTATTTCTTGATTATATAACTTTAGATACCATCTGTTATCTTCTTATTGTGATGGATGTATATTTTACTCACTTACCATCATTACTCCTCTCCTATTCCCCTGAAGTGAAATTATATTACTCTTTCTTCCTCTTTTTATTTATATACCTACCCTCTGTTTCATGTACCATCAGTCTCTACTACTGTGTCTTTCCAAGCCTTCACCTCTTTTTCCACCTCTGCCTCCCTGCTTTGATCAGCTGTACTTCTAACATTCTGTCTTGTAACCAAAATTATCTGTGCCCTGACAAATATTTTATTCTAAAAGCTAAACAGTAAACCATAGTCACATTATTATGACTGTGTAAATATTCTGTACTATAGCGATAATTATACTCAAGCCCCTCAAAGAAGAAATTTTCTATGGCAAATACATTAAAAGTATCATTTTTTTTAACACTTCATCAACTGTGCAAAGTCATACCACATTTTAATTGGGTTCATATTTGAACCATGAGTTTCTCTACCTCAAGTATACAAAGATATTCTTTAATACATTTTTCCCCAAAAAAAGTTTTCAAATTTCTTTTTCCTGTGTAAGTTCTTAAGCCATCTGGAATTAATTTTTGCCTACGTTATGAAGTAAAGATGTAATTGTCCCAGTGTTACTTGTTTATCCTTCCTGAGGGATCTACAGTGTCATCTCTCCATTCGTGTATCAAGTTTCCCTGCATGCATGGATCTGTTTCTTACCTTTCTAGACTATTCATTTGGTTAATTTAACTGTCCCTGTGCTAATAATGCCACACTACCTTAATTTTGAGTTCTTTAGTAAATCTGATACCTGGTTCAGCGAAATCTATCTACCTTATTCTGCTTCAGAAGTATTTTGGGGCCATTGCTCTTATATATCTATTTTAGAATCAACTTTGCAAATTCCATGAAAAACTCTGTTGATTTTTATTAATAATTAACGCTTATATTATGCATACAGTATGACAAACACTGTTAACTCATGTAATCCTCACAGTCTTATAAAGCAGGCATAGTGTTACGACCCTCATTTTATGGACTAGGGAATTTAAGAACAGCCAGATTAAGGCCATTTTCCCAATGTCACACAATAAGTGGCAGAGGCAGGCTTTGAAACCTTGTAGCCTTGCTCCAGAGTCCTTTCTCTTACTATACCATGTTATTTGTTACATTGATGCTCTAGAACAATTTGTAGGAATTCATTCATACCTTACAACATTGTGTTAATGTATGAACAAGTACTCTCCATTTAGGGAGGTGTTCTTTAATGTGTTTCAGCTGAGTGCTATAATTGTCTCCATACACTTCTTGCACATCTTTGGTTAGATTTAGTCATAGGTACCTATTTTTTGTTCTTATAAATGGTATATTCATTTAAGCTCCATGTACTGTTTGTGTTTGCTTGTATTTAGAAATATAATTGGTTTTTGTTTTATTTATATGTATATATATTGATCAATATATATGTTGATCTTGTAGCCTGTTACCTGTTGAACTCTCACTATAATTTGTCTGTGAATTCTCTTCAGGCAGTATCATCTGCAATTCCTTCCGTTTCAGATTCTTATTCCTCACCTCCCCCCGCCCCCAACCCCCTTTTTTTGGTCTTATTGTTCTGGCTAGGATCTCCATATAATATTGAAGTACTGAAAGTGGAGTTCTTGTCTGGGGATACCCCCCCCTTTTTTTAAAGGAAATGCTTTTATATTTATACTACTAGATTTTTACTCTTAGGTTTTTGATAAAACCCTATGTCAGTGTAAGGAAAATCTCTTCTTGTTTTCCAAGGGCTTTTAAACTGTGAACGGATATTGAGCTTTATGAGATGCTTTCTGAGTTGATCATACTGTTTTCCTTCTCTGTTAAATGTGGCAGATTTCTAAATTTTTCTAATATTGAGCCACCTTTTATTTGCTGAGGTAAACCTAACTTGGTCATGATTGATTTTACCTTTTTATTTTTAAAAATAAACACTGACTTATTTAGGATTTTGACAACTAAGTTCATATGTAAGATTGTTCTGTGATTCTCCTTTATTTGTACTGTCCTTAACTGGTTTTAGTATTAAGGTTATACAAGCCACATGGGATAAGTTAGGCAATAATCTTTTTTTCCTATTCTCTGGAAGTTTGTATATTATTAGAGTGATCTGTAGTAAAAGTCACCTGTAAAAGCCATCTGGTCTTGTGGGAAGGTTTTAAATTACGGGTTTAATGTCTTTAATAATTATGGTACTAGTAAAGATTTCTTTTCACTCTTGAGTTACTTAATGTGTTGGTCTAAAGTATATAATATTCTCTGTATTGTTTAATCTCTGCAACATCTGTAGTTGTAGTCCCTTATTGGTTCTGATAATTTTTATGAGGTCTCTTTTTTCTTAATCCTGTCAAAAGATTATCATGTTTTATTCATCTGGTCTTTAAAAACCAACTTTTAGCTTTGTTTATTTTATGGTAGTTTTCTATTTACTTGATTTCTACTTTTATCTTTATTATCTCCCTTCTGTTAGATTTTTCTATTTTTTCCTAGGTTCATAAGTTGAAAGCTTAATTCATTCACTTTCCATCTTTTCTAATGTAGTGTTTTTTAAGATTAATTTCCCTCCAGAACAGTTTTCATTTCTAGACTTTTGATATATTGGGTTTTTGTTTATGTTCGGTTTTTAAATTATTTTAAATTTATGACTTTTTTGACCCTTGAGTTATCAGAAGTGTGTTTTAAATTTGATATATATGGAGATTATTTTCCCATAATTTTTAATTTTTATCTAATTTAAATTGTATGGTGGTCGGAGAACATGGTGTCTATTACACTTATCCTTTGAAAGTACATAGTATATTTTTATAAATGTTTCATATGGGTGAGAAGAATGAGTATTCTTTACCTGCCCTGGGCAGTATTCTATGTTATGTCCATTAAATCAACTTTGTTAGCGGTATTTTGCTCGGTCCTCATATATCTATAGTGATTTTTTTGTTTGCTTGAAGTGTCAGTAATGGAAAGAGTATGTTAATCTCCCACGATCATGGTGGATTTTTCTATTTCTACCTGTATTCTGTTAGTTTTTACTCCGTAAAAAGTAAGGCAATGGTGTTAGATATTTGGAAGTTTAATTTGTTCTGTCTTCTTGGTCAGTTGCATCCTCCACCTTCAAGTAGTCATCCTTTCTTCCCGGAGTAATCCTTTTTGTATGAGTCTGCTTTAATACAGCTACTCATATGGAAATTGGGGGATATTAGTATTTTATTTTATTACTATTTTATTAGTATTTTCCTTTTTTTCTCCCATTCTTTTACTTTCAACCATTTTGTGTGTTTTTTATGTCTCTTATCTTCAGCATTTAGGTAGAATTTTTAAAAGTACAAATCAATAATCTCTGTCACTTAACTGATTAATTAATTCAGTGTCTTTTGTATTGTGATTTTTGAGCTATTCACACTTGTCTCCCATACCCCCATTCTTTCTAGTTCTGTTTTGAATTGACTGAATTTTTCAGGTGATTTTTAAAAAATTCTATTTTTCCCTACATTGTTTTGAAATAATATACTTATTTCTGTTTTTTAGTGGTTACTCTTGAAATGTAATATGCATATATCTGGTAGAAGTTTTTTTTGGTGAACTCTGTTGTTTATAACTTTCGCTGATTTTTGTTTATGAATGCCTTTGTTTTAATCTTATTCTTGAAATATAATTTTGAGTACATATTTCTAGGTTGTTACTTTCTTTCAGCACTTTGAAGATGTCCTTATGTATTCTGGTTTATATTTTTGATGTATTGGGAAGTTTGTGGTGTATCTAATTCTCATTTGCTGTTCACCTTGCAAAATGAAGAGTCTATATGTTAGATCTTTAAGGTTTGTTTCTGGGTATTTACCCAGACTGTGGGTATTCACCATATGTTATTTCTCTATTCTATATATAAAATAATTTTTTTTAATCTAGTGAAGCATTTTTGTGGGATATTTACTTTTTTTGGTCTTCTTTGTTTTTTAGGTACCATAACTTTTGATTTAATTATTATTATTTTTTCTCTGTAGTTGCCTTTCCCCACCTTCCTGGTTCTGCTCCTTCATGGCCTAGTCTTGTGGACACCAGTAAGCAATGGGACTATTACTCAAGAAGAGAGAAAGACCGAGATAGAGACAGAGACAGAGACCGAGAACGAGATCGTGATCGAGACAGAGAAAGAGAACGCACCAGAGAGAGAGAGAGGGAGCGTGATCATAGTCCCACGCCGAGTGTTTTCAACAGGTATGTTCAGCGTGCAGTAATTTGTACACCTGTATTTTATATGCACTTCAGAATTTATAATTTATATTCAGTGCCAGGATGGAAGATCCACTACAATTGGGAAAGGATTGCTTGAAGAGTAGTTAGGATAGCCATTTTAAAAGCATCAAGGCTGTTTATTCATAAGGACTTCCCACTACCTAAAGCAGCAGTCTTCAAATTTGTTTGTTCATTTCTTCCTTAAAACAATTTTGAAAATGTCATACCCCCTCACATATTTTTATCTTGGCGTCAAAAATTTTTCACCTTAAGTATAAATAGTTGGCTATATAGATATAATTTCCAGTCTGTTATAAATCTCACAATTTTAAAATAAAGTTATCATTACTCTATTATATATCCATTGGATTAAGAATACTATAGTGATTTGCTGAACATCATTATCCATTTTTTAAAAATACATAAACAAGCTCTGTAACAGTTGGAAATTCTGCGTTTCTTTTTGTGCTTGAATTCTTACTTCTGAGCCACGTCCCCCAAAGAATTTTATTCTAATGCAAAATATCAAAATATTTTTTTTCTTGAAAGTTTTTTTAATTGATCCATCCTATCAGTCTTCCCTGCAACATACCTATGTAAGTTAAAATGTATTAAAAAATTAATGACCATAAGATTAAGTATTTAAAAATTTTTTGATTTTAGTTATTTATTTTTATATATAAATATAATACAAATTCTGAAAAATAATTTAACATAACTACATTCTTTAATGTGATGGAAGCGCTTCTTCCCATCCCTAAATAATATTTGTATCCATGAATGAATGTTACTACTGTTAGGGGAAAAAAGCCTTTGCCATTTGATTATATTTCTTTCTTTCTTTCTTTTTTTAATATATAAATGTAAGCATTGAGAAACCTTGTTCACATAAAATATGTAAATAAGAATTGATGGAATTTTGTTGCGGTTCTGTCACTAAGTTATTTGAGCACTTTAAGATTTCGTGATATGTCAAAATTACACAGCTAACCTGTCATGAAAAGTTACTTTTAAGAATCTATTACCTCATGGCTCAGTTTTCTTAAAAGCAGATAGTTGGAAACCACCTGATTGTTACTTGGTGAAATTGTTTTCTACGGCTGCTACAATAAAAGTACCATAGACTGGTTAGCCTAGAACAACAGAAATTTACTCTCACAGGTCTGGAGGCTAGAGGTCTGATATCAAGGTGGCAGCAGGTTTAGTTCCTTTTTGTAGGCTTTGAGAGAATTTGTTCCCCGCCTCTCTTGTAACTTCCGGTGGTTGTTAGCAATCCTTGGTATCCCTTGGTTTGTAGATGATGCTTCACTCCAATCTGTGTCTGTCTTCACACGGCATTCTCCTCTCTGTGTCTGTGTACAAATTTCCCTATTTTTATAAGGGTAACAGTCTTTGGATTAGGGTGCAGCCAAATCCAGTCAGACCTCGTCTTGCCTTGATGATTACATCTGCAAAGACCCTGTTTCCAAAGTCTTTAGTTTTCTCAGTTTCTTGGAAGAACACCAAAAGGGCTTTACCAAGACTTATCAGAAGACTACCAATTATACTTAATACTCTTTATTTTAGAGGTACCCTGTTCAACTTAATATGCTTAGAAAGGGTTAGGAAAATGGAAATATATCTTCTCCAAAATGTCTGTAAAAATGAAACACCTTTATGTGTATTTGATATTTATTTTCATGCAAACCTGGAGCTGCAAATTTCCCCCATTCCATTTATGGAAAATAGCTACCAAATAACTTAACTGGTAAAAGACAGCTCCTATTGTCAAGCCAGCAGCCACATCACACCCAATTTCTATGGGAAAAAAGTCTGACTTCATTTTTCTGTTCAGTTAAATGAGTTTAATCCATATTTCCTGTCTAAGTCTAAGATAAAATAGTCACAGAATTCAAAATAAGGTGCTGCCTCCCCAGCACTTTCTTTTGCTTTCCTTCAGAAGGAATTTTTGGTTTTGTTTTTTTACTAGTTCAGGGAAAATTCTTATGACTCCACACTACTCTACACGATATCTGACGTTAGAACATCCCAGGACACAGGCCAAAATATTCCATTTCTTACTTCATACTTTGTAGCAGACAGATGTATAAGAGAGAAAGGCCTAAAGCCCTATAGAAGCTTTATGGTTCTTTGAATAAAATAGGTCTTACTGACACTAATATTTTAAATTAGATCTTCTTGATGCCATGATGGTTTTTATACCCTGAGCCAATAATGTACTGTAGTAAAATTGGTGAAAAGAATGCCTTTCTTTTGTAAAAGGCCAGGAACGTGATGGAGGAGAGGTTAGCCAGAGAAGTGGCATATGTGTTACCTGCAGGTGTATCATTAGGCAGTTCATGTTCAGGAAAGAATAAATATGGAAGTTGGGGACCTAGAAGTTGATTCCCTAAAACTTTCTGTGCCATTGGAAAGAATTCATTTATTGCTAGCATAAAGAATAAAGTCAAAATTCTTTTTCTGATCCGTAAGTCACAAATTCAGTGCACCTTTCTATATTTTAACCCTGGCTCTCTCCCAAGGCAATATACTGCATGCTCTAGCTACACTGAACTACTTGCTCTTCTGGAAAGCCTCATAGTTTAGCACTTCCCTTCTTCATGTTATTCCTGTCCTCTCTGCCTCACAAACTTTCACTGATTCCTCAAGGTTCAGCTCGTATTTGTCTTCTGTGAGCAACTCTGAACCTGAAAGAAAGAATTAATTATTCCTTCACATGCTCCCTAAGCATTTTGTGTATTTTCTTTAAAGCATGTCTTTCTCTTTCAAGGTGTTGACTATCATTTTTCATCTCTGTATCCTCAGCACTTTGTACAGTAATGCCTGGAACATAATGAATGTGTCAGTGAATAAAATGACTTAACACGTATCAGGGAGGAGGGTGAATACAATAGAGAAAAAACAATCTTGAAAACTGTTGGTGAAACTGTGTTAGCCAGATAGGTTTTGAAATGGATAAAAATCAACCCTTATATCAAAGCGTTAATTTGGGCATCTTTCTAATTAACATATCCATTTAGGTACCTTCACAATGTAGAATGAAATAAGTTAAAGATAACTTTTTTTTGTTATCAGCTATTTTTATGGATAAGATAAATGTAAGGTACACAGTTTTCTGATTTTGCTGGATGAGATGAAGTAATATATCAGTTCAAGATGTGAGCATATGCTTGATTCAGACAGCATTTGTTTTGTTAGATGTGATCATGTAATCATATACTTCTTAATCCAGAAAGGTCCTTAGGGGTTATCCAGTCTAAATTTTGATTTGTCAGGTGAGGAAATGGAAGCATAGAGAAATTAAAGCAACACTAGAGCCATACTGTCTACTGGAAATATGGTTGAGATATTACTTAAAATCCTTTCTAGTCTTGAAATTAGGTAGTTTAAAAATTTATTACTTTTCATTTGTTTTTATTACTCTTTCTGTACTTGATTTTTTTTTTTCTTCCTCTTTCGGGGGTGGTGGGGAACCAGATTCATTCTTTCATTCATGTAAACTGACTTTTTTTTTAACATCTTTATTGGAGTACAATTGCTTTACAATGGTGTGTTAGTTTCTGCTGTATAACAAAGTGAATCAGCTATACATATACATATATCCCCATATCTCTTCCCTCTTGCGTCTCCCTCCCACCCTCCCTGTCCCACCACTCTAGGTGGACACAAAGCACTGAGCTGATCTCCCTGTGCTATGTGGCTGCTTCCCACTAGGTAGCTGTTTTACATTTGGTAGTGTGTATGTATCCATGCCACTCTCTCATGTAACTGAGTTCCTGTTATGTACCAGGCACAGAGTTGTGTGCTGAGGATACAGAATTACTCATACACTGTCGTTACAGATTTAACCATGTAATATTGTCACAATATCTAGGACTGGTTAGAAGTTTAAAACTTTATGTAAAAAAAAGTGCAAGAAGAAACTCCATAGGATTTATTAATCTTTTTCCTTCCTGTAGCTCCTAATAATATGACTTACACACTGTAGGCACCTGGTAACATTTTATTGACTAGATAAGTAAAGGTATGGTACATACATGCATGTTTGTGTGTATGTGTGTGTTGAAGTGTATGTTTTGAGTTTGTGTGGTGGGACATGTGCTGTTAATAACTTCAGTCACATAAGTGCATGAATTCTGTTAAGTTCAAGCGCATTACTTTCTGGGAAGTTGAATTGTTTCTAATGTAGTTAAAATTAATATATTTGAGATAGTACTGTTATCTCTAGAATGTACATGTTCACAAGGTAAGGAGCTTAATGCAGAACTTCATAGGAAACAAGTCTGAAATGAATTGCTTTGCTAGAGCTCGTAACTTTTCTTTGCATAAATTATAGTGTTTATAAAATTCTTTGTCCATTTCAAACACACTCATGCACAAATGCTACTTAATTTTTATTGAAGCTAAAAGTGTTAACGGTTAAACCATATTTGATTTTCATGTTGCTAGCTGTAGGGCATCAGGCGTAATGTTTACTTAAATCTGACTAAAAGTTCAAGGCCAGAGAGGGAAAAAAAGGTGGAAGAATTTTGTGTTGTTCTGAATTATCCCAGGAATAAAGTGTTCTCTGGAAAATCCAAATGAAGTATAAGGAAAGGCCTTTTTTTTTTCCTCAAGACTGAGATTTCAGCAATATGGCATGTAGTATGTGATGTTACAAATTAGACTCATTGTTTTGAAAATTACAGACCAGTTTCAACATCTGTTTTTTAGGCCGCTTAATTGTGGGCCAGAGAGAAGGCTGGTCATTCTAGGGTGTTTGAAATGAGCTCTAATGATTTCCAGGCTCAGAGAAACCTTTGTGCTGCAGCTGCTTATCAGAGAAGGGGTCTTTACATTTTGTGTACGAGACCAAATCTTCCACCATCTGTAGGAAGGGTCCCATCAGATGGCTGCCTTCAGAATCTTAAAGGCCTCAAAGCTAACAAGAATTGGTGTGAGGGTTAGAGGGAAAAAACAGGGTTACAAAGGACGAATTATGAGATAATTGACCTTAGTTATTTTTAGGTAAATCCAGTTGGAATCATTACAAAGAACCTCATTTTTAAAGAGGATAATATTAATGCTAATATTCGTTTGTCATGGTAGGTGTGAGTTTATTCTCCTTTAGAAACTTTATTAGAAACAGTCACCTTTACAGAAAGCGTTCTGCTTCTGAAAATTTTAACATTAAATTTAATGAAGATGGTGAGCCTGCCTGTTAGCGGCCATTTGAGGGCCTGCTCTTGTTCCAAACACTTTGTAAATGTTATTGCCAATTCTACCACTATCCTGAAAAAGACTGTTGCCAGTTTTACAGATGAGAAAACTGAGTGTTCACAGAGGTTAAGTAACTTACCCTGGGTCATACACTTAGGAAATAACAGTCAGGACGTGTTCCTGGGCCTGCTCTGCACGGACTCTTCCTGCTACTCCACACTGCCTGTCATGGTGCATTGCCTTTCTGATGACACGCTTCCACCTCCCCAGTACCAAATACACATTTATGATTAGAAAAAAAATCGTGTTTGTATGTAATATATGTGTCCGTGTGTGTGTGTGTGTGTATCATCCATATATATATGCATATATGAATACTCTTTAAAATAACATTAAAAATGTATCACAGGCAATAATAACTTGGTCAGCAATATGACTTGGCTTTAGGTGTCGCACTCCTGAATTATCACTTTTGCTAAGAGACCACAGTTAGGCTTTGTTTTTATATGGCTTATACTTTCACCTGATTCTGTCTCCTGTTATTCTCTCTCAGATTCCTTAACATCTTGAGGCTATGTACAAATTCTAATTTAATAATTTGTATAAAACATATATTTCTAGAAACCAAAGCTCTTTAGTACACAGTGTTCTAAAAGATATTTTTATTCATTCTAAGAGTTTACTGACATTAGGATGTAGAAAATGTTGACTTCTGTGCTGAACAAAAAGAAAAAATAGACTTGAAGGATTGAGAGAAAAACAGAAGTATGTCTCCATTTTCACGAAAGGACATGGAGAGACAGGTCTAAGGAGGTAAAGATGACTACCATCAGTCCCAGTTTCACTAGTCCATTCTCTCCAAAATCAGAAAATGGAGGCAGAGCTTAATATGGATTTGAAGTTGTTCCCATGGTCCCCTCCCTCCAGCTTCCTCCTCCTCACTCCACCCCCGCAACCCGCCTCCCTTACCACACAGATAGCGTTAAGTTATTGGGATGTCAGAATTCAAGTATGTCCGTAGGCAATTTTCTGCCTGCATTTTGTGTGGAAATTGCTTTTTTTTTTCAGTCTCTTGTATGATACTTTATTATCAGCGCCACTTTTCGAACAGGATTTGCTCACTTCGTGTTTCTTTGTCACATTTTGGTGATTCTCACAATATTTCAAACCAGCAAAACGTTGACTTGCTGAAGACTCAGGTGATGGTTAGCATGTTTTAGCAATAAAGTATTCTTAATTAAGGCATGTACATTGATTTTTAGACATAATGCTGTTGTACACTTAACGGACTGCAGTATAGTGTAAACAACTTTTATATGCATTGCGAAATCCAAATTTCGTGGACTTGCTTTATTGTGATATTTATTTTATTGGTCTGAAACTGAACCTACGGTTCATATCATTGAGGTATGCCTGTATTCATAAATTTGCACATCTACTAAGAATGCCAATATATGGCGGTTTACAATTGCCTGCTTTCTAATTTGCACTGGAAAATGGAAGTTGCTTTGATGTCACTCTGTTCTTAATGTTTATACTACTTCATTAGATGAATGTATACTTTATGTGATTCAAAACCTTAAGAACCTTTATCTACTTGGACTATGTCGTCATAAGCCAAATATTTTTAATATATTTTTAGAATCTTAACTGTGTGCCTAAGATTTTATAAATATCATTAAGAATTTTGGTTGGAAATCTGAGATACACAAACATGCTTTTAAGTCTAAAAAGTAAAGTGAAGCCGCTGATTAAAATTTAAATCAGTTACAGCTCCCAAATTTTGAAGAAAAACAGCATTTATATAAAATTTCTACCCTATAACAACTGTGAAAGCACAGAACTTGGCCCTTTAACATAACGTGTAATCATTATATATTTTGTATTCTTGTATTAGATCTAGTACTAATTTGGGAGCAGCATTGTTTTCCTCTCAGTTCAACAAGTATATACTTTGCACCTATTCTGTGTAAGATGCTAACATTAGGACTTCTGGTTTGGACTCAGGTCACGTCTTTTGTAGCTTGAAGTCATTCAGAATCAACAATCCAGTTGTCAAGAAAACTTGTTTCTATTCTGATTTCAGTGATGAAGAACGATACAGATACAGGGAGTATGCAGAAAGAGGCTATGAGCGCCACAGAGCAAGTCGGGAGAAAGAAGAACGACACAGAGAAAGACGACACAGAGAGAAAGAGGAAACCAGACACAAGTCCTCTCGAAGGTTTGCTCTTTAATAGTGAATCATTTTGAAGCCAAGAGAAATTGATTTGTTTTCAGGAAGTAAAAGCAAACATTTCTAAGTAACCACTAGAGCATTATATGTGTTCCTAATTGGAAGACTATAGTTGGTTCCTTATAGGTTTCAACAAAGATATTGAAATCTAACCAGATTATAATGCCCATAAGCCAAAATTAGCATGGAATAAAAAATATGAGAATTAGACTTACTACATTATCTTGGGTGGGGGGGGGATTTGTCATATGAATCAGTTTTTAGTAGTAATTGTTATTAAACAAACTGATGTTCAGTTTAATCAAAGAAAATTCAGGGCCTTATAGTCCCCCCCACCAAAAAAAAAAAAATCAGCATTAAATTTTAATGCCTATTGTTTGCCTAAAATCAACTCTAGGAAGTATTTCCTGTTCTGATCTAGTGCTTCAGTTTCTAATTTGTAATTTAGTCTTTTAGAATGAAGTATATGGGCCCTAGTGGCCCTCTTGGCATAGTGGGCGGTGCGTCGGTCTCATAATCTAATGTATATGGTCCTTAGGGTTCTAGGAAAATATTAATGAAGGTGAGCATTAAATGTAAATATAATCTCAGCATAAAGGTCACATAAAAAATAATTACTCCCCAAAATGTGTTTGAGAAAAAGAAAGTATTAGATTATTTAAAACCCACTGTTATACCGAGAATTTACCTAAAGTAGGTTGATCCGTCACTACTTAAACATTTTTAAGAATACACCTTTCTTTTTTCTTTAGTAATAGTAGACGTCGCCATGAAAGTGAAGAAGGAGACAGTCATAGGAGACACAAGCACAAAAAATCTAAAAGAAGCAAAGAAGGAAAAGAAGCTGGCAGCGAGCCTGCCCCTGAACAGGAGAGCACCGAAGCTACACCTGCAGAATAGGCATGGTTATGGCCTTTTGTGTACAGTAGTGCCAGAAATAGATACTATAAATCTTATTTTTCTGGATAATGTTTAAGAAATTTGCCTTTAATCTTGTTCTTTTAGTATGAAAAGTTAACTTTTTTCTTCTAAAATAAAAGAGTGAATTTTTCATGTTAAGTTAAAAATCTTTGTCTTGTAATATTTAAAAAATAGTAATGACTTTGTATCGAAGAAAGTAATGTGAATGAGTCACTCAGCAGGGAATTTAAAGAGCTATGTTTAGCTGTGTACATAATATCTGATTGATAAAGGTCAAGGTTCCCTCTTGGCCAGTTTCCTTGAGGAGTTAATCAAATACCAGTCTCTTAAGAAGTTGCACTGCAAAATGCATCAAAAGGCACCTCTGAGTCTTGAGATTAAAACTAGTCTTTTATCACTGCTGTGGCACTATTGCTTTGCATATTAAAGAACTCATACAGTTTTGATACTGCAACTTTTTTTTTTTTTTTTTTTGTGGTATGCGGGCCTCTCACTGTTGTGGCCTCTCCCGTTGCGGAGCACAGGCTCCGGACGCGCAGGCTCAGCGGCCATGGCTCACGGGCCCAGCCGCTCCGCGGCATGTGGGATCTTCCCGGACCGGGACACAAACCCGAGTCCCCTGCATCGGCAGGCGGACTCTCAACCACTGCGCCACCAGGGAAGCCTGATACTACAACTTTTTGATAGCAGGTTTTCAGTGTTCTAAATTTGGGTTCATGGTGAAACTAAAGGGGAACTTTTCTATCCAAAGTAATAAAATCTAATGGCACTTGGGTGACCTCTGAAATAACTTGCCCTAAATGTAGTTTCTGGCAGGCACATGGACAAAATACTCGTCACTGTGACAAATTTGAATTGCCTCAAAGCCATCTTTTATGAGCTAGGTCAAGCTGGTTTGGCCTGTCTTGATGGTTCTTCCAAGGCTCATTGGTTGAGCAGCACGTAGAGTTTGTATACAGTTACTAGCTATACTGTGAATAAAAATAAATAAGCTTTAGATTAGTCATTTCCCATTACATTTAAGAAAGTACAAGTTTATAGAATTCTGTGAACATTTTTAGGGATAGCCCTTAGAAGGTATTTGTCAGTGATGGTAGCAACATGGTTTTGAAAGAATGAATTACTAGGAACTTTTAAATAGTGATAATAGAAATGAACTTAGTATCACATACTAAAAGACAGCTATATAATTTTTGAAAAATATTTATTTCTCATTTGATGAACACTTTTCAGCAATGCACTTTTAAAATCCTCTGTCTGGAAATTGTTTTTAAAATGCCCATAATGTACCCTTTGCAGACCTCAGCATATACCAGATTTTAATTTAACTGTATGATTTGAATTCAGTGGGGGCATACAAACCATGTCAGCTGTTTAAGAGCTTTTTATTGAATAGAAAAATATAAACTTAAAGTTCTAGAGTAATGAGAAATATTCCACACTGAATAAAAACTATTAGTAATGTTTCTATTTTGAGAATTATATTTTCTGAGGTGTAATTGGCTTTTCATTAGATCCTACTTTTCCTGACATTAAAGTTTATATTTTTACATTGTAGCCTTCAAATACAAAAATCGATAAGATAAATACATTGTTTCAACTTAGCTTATTTGTGATTTCCTGTTTTTCTATGACCCATCATTGATTCTATAAAAAAGTGCCGGGCCAAGAAGCAATGGTGAGAGTAATTTTTCCTTTAAGTTCTTTTAGCATCCTTGCCAAGCAAGCATGTATCATTCCTGATGTACTTCTGCCATTGACAGCAAGAAGAATATCACCACATCTAAAAAAAATAAAGGTACATGATTAACATTTTGAGCCACAGCTGAAGTTAATGCAAGTTTTTTTTGGTGGTCCCAGTTTTTGCTCCATCTGTCAGTTTTAATTATGTTATCAGTACTTCTAATTAAGGTTCTCCCCCCCTCACTTAAATTCTTCAAATTCTATTGTTCAGCTTGTTTTAGAAAGAATGCTAAAAGTATAGGAAGTTGCTGTATGGGACCAAGAGTAACAAATCATTTTGGATTTCTTAGAAATGGAATGCTGCATAAATGTTTTAAATTTCTTACCAATAAAAAAAGATATAATAGGTGCCTTATTTCACATGGGGCCAGGCTTTTTGCATGTATAAAACACAATCTTTGGATATAAGTTTTTTGTTAAGTAGTCATTATTATTACCTGATTCTTCCATCGTTGTATGCTGGTGTTCCTTCAACAATGGATTTGATAAAGAAAGGTTTGTTCCCATTGTATTCTTCATAACCTCCTACAATGCAGAAGCCCAGACTTCCAGCTGTGTTTCTTCGCAGTATAACATCTTTACAGTTGTACAGGTACCTGAAATAGAACGAAATCAATGTAAATGCGCAGTTAATTCGAACTCATAGTAATTACTGTGATTCATCTCCCATTCCCTTTATTGGCATTATTTTTTTTAGGCTTAATAGCACTGGATGGGTCTCATTCAAAATTGTGTCATAGCCCAGTTACCTTTGTGCTTTTAGCTGGCTCTTTTTTTTTTTTTTTTCCGGTATGCAGGCCTCTCACTTTCGTGGCCTCTCCCGTTGTGGAGCACAGGCTCCGGACGTGCAGGCTCAGCGGCCATGGCTTACGGGCCCAGCCGCTCCGTGGCATGTGGGATCTTCCCGGACCGGGGCATGAACCCGTGTCCCCTGCATCGGCAGGCGGACTCTCAACCACTGCGCCACCAGGGAAGCCCTAGCTGGCTTTTTCTAATTTTTCTAAAAATTTCTAATTTCTAATTTTTCTCTTTTCTAAAGCTAACCACCCTTTTAAAAGTGACACCATCTATTATGTTCTGTTTATGTCTACTGGGAAAGAATCATTTCTGGCTTAAAGATTTAATTTCTCAACTTATATTAAAGTTATGCCTAAATCTTTACTGATGAACCACATTCAAGCATACTTACAGTTATCATATTTTTATTTCCTTATGGATGTAAATAATTTTTAATGAAGGAAAAATTCTTTGAATCGTTAATATCTCAGTGGAAAAAATTTAAATGTAACCCTAATTCATTGGCTGAAGTTCTGACTTTTGAAAGATACCAGTTTATACATAGTTTTACATGTTTGATAGGTTATATAGAAGCATGCAGGCAGCGTAATATACTGAATGGAGACTGAGGTGCATTTAAAGATTGTAAGAATGATTCATACTGAAGGAGAAAAAACTGGCAGTAAGTTAAAAACTGAATAGCAAGTTATAACAGGAATGGGAGAAAGACCATAGGTCTTTTGTAAATGGGTAGAACCCTCAGCTAAAATAGAAAATTTGATTGAGGAAGCTGTTCCTTTTATTATTCAGTGGCAGTTGGATCAGTGTTAACATAGGTGCAGGCTAAGTACAAAACTGTGTTACAGTTATGGCAGAGGTATGTCAGGAGCTGGATTTGACTCCAAAATCCCCCAAGTCCAGGAACTGGTTTGAAAGAGAATTAGCATTTTCAGTGTTGGTAAAAGTCAAGATTTGGTGATTTTGTTTATAAACTGTACCTTGAAATACTAATTTTTTTGAAAAACCAATAAAAAGTCTCTTGAGAAATGTTCTGGTGATGAAGCTGGTCATTACATTTGTTACTGACCTTGCTAATCAATGTAACATGACTTTTTCATGGCATTTCGACTCCCATTTGAAGTAAAACAAGCTTTGGGTTTGTCTGGTGGGTAACTTTAAAATGTAGTGCTAAAATGCAACTCAATTTTGTTTTGTATCTGTTGTCATACATATATATCATTTACAATAATTTCTTTTGCTGAAATTATTGCTGAAAAATATGAATTCATTAAATGAAACAACCGTATTTTTATTATAAAATATTCATTTGCTGTATTTCACAGTAATACTTGATGTTAGTAAATTCATCCTGTAGGAGTTGTGGTGTGTTTGATACCACATTTACACAGTGGCTCACTGACTGCTCATGTTCAAAGCAGGTAATTGTTCCCCAGACGCTAGAGCATTATGTTCCCACCTATGCCCAGTGTTTGGAGGAGAGCTGGTGGGTGCTTCTTACCCAAGGTTATGATTAAATATGTCTTAACGTTCTTTAAAACATATAAATGGGTACATGGAGCAATACTCGAAACTTAAGTATTTCTCACCCTTTTGACCATTGGGTTTTTTCATTAATTATCACTTTGGACCTTGACTCTTAATATTTTATTCCATGTGGACAAGCTATAAAAATAATCATCTAAAATTTTTATGTTACCAATACAAAAATTTCAACATAACATTAATGAGTCATTCTCATTTTCTTACAAGCATATGGTGACATTTTCCAGAGGACATGTGGTAAGTGATCTGGCAGGACACTGAATGCAGAAGTAGATATGAGAGTCCAGTTATCTTCTATTAAGCCAAACATTAAAGAGGTTTGCAAAAATCATACACTGCCACTTTTGTAATTTTTAAAAATACTGCTTATAAAAGATGTTATTTATGTTAATATATAATGGATTATTTTAAATGATTTAATAAATAAAATTCAGATTAATTTATAAGGTAAAATATTAGTAGGTATAACCTATATAAGCAAAAGCTCTTGGGGATCATCAATACTCTAAATAAGTGTAGGGGTCTTGAAAAAAAACTTTGGGAATTGCTGTAGACATGTTTATCAAACTTGATGTTCCACTGGTATCTCAACCTCAGCATGTCCAAAACAACTAATATCTCCTCATTCTTCCTTACTGTGTAAAATAATTACATGAATGGCCCAAGTCATCACCCTTCCCTGGTATCATCCGTGCCACTTATTGTATAATTTTGTGGTACCCCCCTCCAATTCTGGATTCAGCCATAAGATCATCAGTGGGACGTTGGCCAGAGCCAGCCAAATCTAGACACAGGAGCATGGCCAACCAAGATTAGCAGAGCCACCTGAACGACCCAGAAAGGACTGCAAATGCATGAGGGAGCCAGCCAAGATCAATCACGCCTGGCCTGGGTCAGCTGAAGCTGATCTGTGTCTGATGTTCCCTGCGGAATGGGCATTCTGCACATCAGAGGGGCCGCTCACTGTGGGCCCAGGGCTCTGCAGGCTTGGCCTGCACGCTCCAGATGTGGGCAGCCTCACTTCCATCTTCCCTCTTGGACTTGCACTTTCTGCTACTGAGGTTTTGTGGCTAGTTTGTTACATAGCATGATTGTGAAAAGTAACTGATATTCTTAACTCTCCTAGTTTGGTATGTCCTCCAGCTAGATGAAACATACCACCATTCACTCCAGTGTATTTCCTAGGTTCCCAAAGCACCCTGTGCCTACATAATATTTTAATTATAACTTCTTTAATTCATAATTTTTAATAATTCACTATGACATGTTGTTGCTTACTGTATTATGAAGGCCATGAGGGCTATTCCTAGAACCTACTCTATTATTTCATTCAACAAATGCCTGCTAAGCAGAGCCATTTAAAGACCTACAGAGACACTAGGTATTCCTGTGGAGGCTCCACCCACTATTACAACAAACACATTAAAAGCGCATTCATATCCCACCAGAAATATAGGTGAGTTTGGGACAATTATAAAAGACTAATTTTGCTCCTTAAATGGCTTCGCCAGGAGCTACTCATTTGATTCTGGATTGACTGTGACTTATTAGCAAACATCACACAGGGAAGGTAATGGTGGGAGGTGGGGAGGAGAATGGCAAGAAATTTAAGGCCTAAGAGGCTAAGCAATGAAGAAAAATACATACTGTGCTGCTGGGTGCATGACACATCCACTGAATGACAGAAATCTGAGGCATTTACACTCCTCCAGAACTTGTTTATGGTAAAGAGAGAAACGGTAAGACTCAAATTATAAAAGCTAAATATAGGCTTCACATCCTCCTAAAGGATGCTCACCAAACACTGCATCGTGGTTAAGATCCCAACCAGGCAGCCCGGTTCAAATCCCAGTTCTGCATATTAACTAGCATGTTACCTTGGGCAAGTTACTTAACCACTCTGTGCTTCAGTCTCCTATCTTTAAAGTGGGGATAATATTAGTACCTAGATCATAGGACTGAGGTGAGCTTTAAATGAGTGAAAAATGCAAAGAACATGTAAAGCTCTTAGCAGAGTGCCTGGCACACAGAAAAGGTTATATCAGTATGAGCTACTGTTGCAGTTGTTATTTCTATTCCGGGTTTGGATGTACTTGACAGTGTCCCTGTCCTATAGTTAAAATGTAAAAGTTTTTGACTTAAAAAAAAAAACAACCCATGATATTTGCCTCCCTGCTCTTCGATACAGACAGTCCTCATCAAAATGCTTTCTGAAGTTCAGGAAAGTGAAAGGTTAAATACTTAGGCAAGAGAAGAAATGAATTAATGTGTATCACTATCATACTAGTCCGGATGAGAGCATGTTTTCAAAGACTTCCAGATGTGGAGTGGGGTCCCTGAGAGCCAACAGTGAATAAAGCAGAATGTCTTCAGTGTTTTCTGAATCCCCTCCAAGTGAATTGCATCTGATCATCTGTATAGCTTAGAGCCCATGTCTGGAGCTACTGCCCAGGGGTGTACAAAAGGCATCCCTGATAAGGGTGAGACATATTTGCATTGTCCTTCATAACCTACTTTTACTCTCTGCTACTGTTTATTATATCTGACACCCACTGGGGTTCAGCATACTAATGGTACCCTCTTCATATACATTCATTCTACGTGTTGGACTGCACTTGAGGACATGATCACAATGTCCTAGAAAAGAGATTGTTTCTAGACCTGCTGACATACCACTTTTCTTCACTGGTAGGGAATATTAGGTAAGTGGCTGGATCATACTTTAGGGCAAATAGTTTTCCCTCAAAATCTGTTAAGCAAAAGGGGAAAAGGTTTGACTGGGTAAATGTATAACTTGGAGGGAAATGTCTTCTTTGTGAATTTAAAAAAAAAACTATTTGCAGCCTACATCTCTAGTGGTTCCGGCAGGCAAGTAACTTTTGCTAAGGCCTGAAACTCTTAGGACATCACTAATGCCAAATGACTAGAGACATTTATGCCCATGGTATTGCATCAGTGAGGGAGAACCTGGCACCTTTGGGGCTCTATGCAGTCAAGATCAGAAATGCCAACCTGCAAGATGGCCCTGGTTCCTTCCTTTTATTATAAACCTCCAGCAAACAGCCACTCCAGGAAAAATTTAGCTCAAAGGTTAAAAAATGAACCAGAGACACATATAAAAGAAAAGGCGGAGAGTAACAGTAAAAACAGTTAACAGACAAAAACCACTCACCAGAAAAATGCTGCCACAGAAATGAAATGCTGCTAGAGAAAAGGAAATTTATAACCAACCCTATTCCTGTGAATTTAAAATACTTCTGAAACAATGGCTCTGTAAAAGAGATCAAGGCAGAGATATAAGATTTCAAGGGGAGATATAAGACAAGAGGAGAAGAAATGGGCCGAGAAGAAAGACGTAGAAGGGAAAAATAACACAGAAATGAAAGTGAGTACAAAGGCAAAGATGTACTACTGAAAACACAGTAAGGGTTATGAAGGACAGATCAAAACAAGCAAAGAAAGCAGAATGAAAGTAAATAGAATTGAAAAGGATTCGAGAAAATGAAAGATATAAAACAAAAAGAGGTAACATACATATCTGGACTCCCTGAAAAGAAGACGCCAAATAACAACATTTATCTTGAACGTTAGGTAGAAAGACCAAGCCACATAGAGAAGGAAAGAAATGAGACAGGCCTCACTTCTCCACATCACCACTCAGTGCCAGTCAGTGATGCAATGCCTACGAAATCCAAAAAGAGGTGATCAGATAGTTTCATAACCAGGTAACCTATCACAGGGTTGTACAGATATAGCATGATTTCTTTAACCAGTTCCTATTGGTAGTGGACACAACAACGGTGCAATGAACACCACTGTACCTTCCTTATGAATTCATTTTGCAACATTGCTTACGAAAGATGAAAACAACCTAAGTGTCCACCATCAAATTAGGTCTCGACAATACTATCAGGACTGGCTGAATCAATATGGTACTTCTATACAAGAGAATACTATTGGCCATAGAAAAGAACGAGGAAGCTTGATGTGTACTGATGTGAAATGATACCCAAAGTATATTCTTAGATTAAAAAAAAATTATGGTACATCATAGTGTGTATGTTACCATTGTATGTGTGTGTGTACATATATACCTAGACTAGGGGTCAGCAAACTACAGCCCAGCCCAACACCCAATTTTATAAATAAACAGGCATGCCCATTCATCTATGTATTGACTGTCTGTATGGCTGCTTTCACACCACAACAGCAGAAATGAATAGTGGCAACAGAGACAGCATGACCCTCCAAATCTGCACTCTGGCCCTTTTCAGAAAAAGTTTACCAACCTCTGACATAGACACTCCCTAGAAAATTACACAAGTCATTGGTAACTGTGACCTCTGTTGAGCGGATCTGAGGGGCCAAGGGTGGAAGACTCACTTTCACTCTCTCTCTACCCTTTGGTGCCCTCTGAATGTTCACTGTGCTTATTACTACGAGGAGAGGAGGGGATGAAGGAAACTAAGAATTGCCGGGGGCACTGCAAACCAGTGTTGTCTTTGCTGGCTTCACACTTTCTATTCTTCTAAAGGAAATGAGCAAAATCCAGATTGGACTTCTGATAAGATCAGGGAAGTGCTGTGCCCAAAGTCAAGGGCAAAGGTAGAGGGAGAGAAAGCCATTCACTTGGTTGTACGTGAAGTAAAACACATCTCACATTTGTTCTGTCTTTACGTGAACGAACGGCAAGGAACTCTGTTTTATAAGACAAGTAGCTTTCAAGCACAAAAAACTTTTCTAAATGATCCATTTTAATAGATTGAAGTTTTAGAAAATTTTTTTTCCACACGATTTTAGTTAAAGTAACATTCTCTTCTTCCACCCAGGAAGAAAATTTTTTTAAAAAATTTTTTAAACTCAATGCTCAGTTTTTAACTTAAAATGTACTCATTTAAAAAATATTTTATCAACTAGTGAAGGCTAAAAAGGGAATCTCAGTGTGTATTTGAGGTAGGGATGTTTTTTAAAACCTCGTTTAAAATTAAGAGACAGAGAGAGAGAGACCAACCTATCTCCACCCTCGAGAAAAATGTACTAAAACCAAACATCTTACTTTCATTCATTTAATCCTCTGCCAGCATACCATCATCAGTGACTCTAATGTTGAACATTTAAGTCATGCATTTGGAATTATTAAGGCAATCCTTTGAAGGCCAAGAGCTTACGCTCTGATGCAGGTGAGCAAACCCCAAATTATTTGTCCTTCGAATATTTGATTTCTGTATCTAGCCATTTAGCAAGGCTGCCCTCAAATCCTTTCCTGAACTTTCCGAAACATTTATCTGGCTCCCCTCTAAGGCTCTAGTTACATCTCACTGAGATGACAAACTAGTTGCTTCCTGAAGGTTTACACCAGGACTTTTCAAGAGTAGGAACAAGGGAGAGGTGATCTGAGGCCCTCAATCAACACAGGACCCAGCATCTGGGCAAAGGCAAACTGTGCTGCTGCGTTGCTCTGGGTTTAGCTGGGGCCACCGGAGAGCTGGAGGCGTGAAGCCACAGACTGGTTTTACCTCCATGCAAGTTCCTAGGCCCGCCACTAGCCAATTGAGAAAAGCTGACCTTGCCCTGCTCCAGAGTGTGTGAAAACAGCGCCCTCTCTCTGTCGACTGAGCTTCCTGACGCACATACAACCCACACAATCGAACATGGCAGCCCTACGACCCCCTCTCCGTGAAGGCCAAACAGTGTTTCCACACCCAGGCTTTCGTCCCTGCCCAAGAATTGCTGCAGTTTCAGTTACCAAAAGGAACACAAATTTTTTCAAATAGACCCACAACCAAGCCTGGGTCTCGTTAACATGTCAGTGCCCTGAACCAGCCCAAGAGAGTGAAACAGTGGTCTAAGAACTATCATCGTTTCCTCCCACACCTCCCCAAGGATGTCACGCTGGGACTCACCGTGGTAATTCCAGCCACATGACCCAGGAGGGGGACCGGTTGCCAGGTGGGGCCGTGTCTTTGTGGTTGAAGTCCAGCGCTGCTGGGCTGCTGCCTTCTTCCTGGGGCTCACATTCTCTGACTTCCAAAGCTTTAAGTACCACCGAGGAGGACGTGCTTTTCAATAAAGCAACCGCCTCGCTCCGGCTGACCTCTGTTAGTTCAATCCCGTTCACATTCAACAGAACGTCACCTAGTGACCGGAGAAGCAGAAGCCATTCTTAGTAAGAGTGCAAACTGGAAAGGCAAAGGGGCAGGGACTGACTGGGATGCGGGTACGTGGAGAGGGCAAGGGGCACTTCCTTAGCCTCACGTCAACATGCGGCTGGGTTTTCTCACATCAAATCGCGAGCAGTGCGCATGTGCCAAGGCGCTGGTAAATCACGTGAGGGGGATTCTAACGCACGCCTATTGGTATTTGGCTCTTGCCTTAAAAAGGGGGAGAGGGAGGGAGGGAGGGAGGGAGGGAGGGAGGAAAGAAGGAAAGAAGAGAGGGAGGGAGGGAGGGAGGAAGGAAGGGAGATAAAATAGCCACGTTCACTATTTAATCAAAGAAAACCTCCTTTTTTTTTTTCTTTTCTTCCCATTTTTAGCACAAAGGCGGAGCATGTGACAAAAGCGCCCAGCACCCACACGGAGCCAGGCATGTAGTAAGCACCCAATAAATAAGGGTTGAATGAATAAATAATAAGCTTCCCATGAGAGAGTCTGACAGATGAGTCTGCGGCAGTTAAGAACGATGGGCCTGGAACTGTGTTCCTAAAGAGGTGGGAAGAAGAGGTTCCATTTCTATTCAGTGCAAAGGTGCTGACAGCTACCACTGGTTAAGCCCCTACTGTGTGCGGGGCCATCCTATCATAGAACCCTCTGCTCACGTTCTCTCACTAATAAGTCACTTCGTAGTTGACCTCATCGTTCTCCACCCGGGTGCTTGGGTGAAAAAGAAAAGAGAAACTAAAGTACATACCTCCCCTACCTCCATTTCCTATCTTTTTATCTCCCTCCTGTCTTTCTGCCTCCTTTGACTATCAACTTTCTCGCACAAAATAACCGTAGCAAGAGTAAAAGGACAGGAGGAGAAAGATGGGAAAGGCCTTGAGTTCATCCTGAACCCCAGAGAACCATCGTTAGGTTGGCTGACTGAAGCCCTTCACACATGCCATCCCCCCGTGGCCCCTCAGGCTGAGCAACTGTACTTCAAAAACTTCACATTTTATTTCTTGAATCTGAACACCCTGAAAGGGCATATCGGCTCAACCATCAGCTACCCATCCATGGGAACTGACAATACTATCAGAGATACAAATTGGACATCTCTTTCCTTCACTCTAAGGAGCCCAAATCATATAAGATTAAAGTAGTGAAACACTTTTCATCAATGGGAAAGTACCTGGCTTGGTATTTTCACTTAATAAATATTCACTGAATCAAAATCTATCAAATTATTTCTCCTATCCAACCCATATATGGAACGATTCATGAACAGTTTCATCACTGGATCAATCCACCAAAGAATTACTTAGAATGAATGGAACCAAATTATGCCGTTTAATCAAGGCAACTTGCTCATAACTGTAGCCCTTCCCTATTCATTCTTGGCATCGTTTGCAGATACTCACTTTACCAGCAAGCAAGGTGGCCCACATCAACCCACATGAACCAAGAGGGGTGAAACCTGGTCCAGGAACTATACTCAAACCAATCATGGTCAATTGGTCACAGATGCCCTGGCCAGATAACCCTCACATTCTCTTGTTAATTCTGGAAACAGTTACCTACCCCAGTAAGCCACTAATTCCTTTTAACACTCTGCTGCCCCAGTACCTTAAGTCTCTTTACTTTTTACCTGTTTTTATTCTTCCATCTCTGCTTATGACTCCTCCGGGCTCAACACTGATGACATAGATTGGCAAATTCCACTCCCTATGTGATGCTCCCCCTGCAACGGTCATGCCGAGTGATTCACTGGGGTCTTTTTGGACACTTACCACCTTCTCATGACAAGTGACCACAGGGTGGAGGGGCTGAAGGCACAGACAGAAAAACAAATATAGCACATTTATTCGTAAGTGGCTTTGCATTTCTTACATACAAAAAACTACCAAGATTGCATAAATATATGATGGTGGTTCTTGGTCGTACATAGAGAGAAGGAGGGAGAGAGAGGCAGAGAACTCCTCACTTGGTCCTCACTCTCAACAGAGTTACATTGTCCCAAATTCCTCAGGCTGACTCAGAGAAAATTTATATTCCAAATGGGAGAAGTAAAAAATGGGAAGAGGAATAGGTTGGAGACCACTGGAGAAATATTAAGTATACAAAGTGAACTGCACCCAAAATTTTTCAGGTGATCCATTTATTCCTGATACAGTGAGTCAACATTTCGTAAAACTCTCGTCATGCATGACTATCAGCAAGTTTTTCTAGGTTAAAATGTAACCATATTTAAATTAAATAGTTCGTTTAATTTATGCAGGTAATCAATTACAGAAATCCTCAAAGAAAAATAATGAATTTCCTAGATACTATACTCTAAAATCTCACCAATATCTAGGTTTGCCCCAGCTGACGACTTTACTCTTACTTTAGCAGTCCTAAATAATGTGCAGTTATAGCCTTTAATTTTATTACCTAAAACATAATATATACATTATATAATACACAATGTAGACCAACTTTTCAAAAGCAAATTAATTGTGATTTGATTCAACAACACTAGATTAAAAACATTGAAGCCACATTCAACATTATCTTGAAGCAATAAGAGTAGGTCAAGGGTACTGCTTTATCAATGAATATGTATCAATATATATTTTTCAAAAAAGTTATTCTCCTTCCTGCTTGGGCAGTGACCTAGGAGACTAGATGGGCATTTGCTCTGCAAATAAATACTTATAACACTTGATCAAACCTCAAAAAGTCTATGGTTCAAAACATAGCTTATAGTTCTATCTAAAGAAAGAAAGTTTAAAAACACATCTGACAAAAATAACCAAGCTACAGAACAAAATATAAGTATACTACCTTTCATTTAAAAAAAGAAAAAAAGGAAGGAAATAAGAATTTGTACTGATACTTGCATTTTCATAAAGAAATTCCGGAAGAAAAAGTGGCTTCGTGGGGGTGGAGGGGGAAACTGGGCAGATCAGGGAAGGGTGAGAAACTTTATACTTTCCATTTTTTGAACCCTGTGAATATATTATCTATGCAACAAATCAAATGAATTATAATCAAACTTCTGTAAATTTGATGGTTGACATAATACAGAACTAATGCTTGCATGTACAGAATCAATTTTTAATGCTTCATTATGAAGCAAGATAAGCCTAGGATTTTTGTGCATTTATTATCTGATGATTTCCTATGGTTTTAAATAACCCACGTCTGTTTTAATGGCCTTATTGTATACAGTAATGCCCTGTGACTGTATCCCTAGCCCTGAACATTGTGTTTAACACATTGATGATGATAAGTACATGTTTGTCGAATAAATGGATGGATGAATTGCAAATTGCCACATTGTTTTTGATAGTAATAGAATAATAAATTGGAAATTAACATTACAGCAAGGTATATGTTACAATTAGTACTTGTAAGGTCTGGGTTGTGTTTATATGAACCTTAGAACTTTGAAGTGCCCGGTAGAGATTGGTTGTCAGATGAGGACTGTAAAACTGAAATGGGGCTTTCTTCAGAGAAAAGTTTCAAGACAAGACAAGCAAGTAACAGTATGAACATAGTGGTCCTAGCATTCCAGCTGAGGCAAAGGAGTAGACTTGGAGAGGATCTCAAGATCTGTCCTTAGTACGTGACTTTTCCTTTTTAAAAAGCAATTAGATTCAGAATGTCTCTTCCTTTAACCACAAATATCTCTCAAAAGATCTTGGGCTTCCCTGGTGGCACAGTGGTTGAGAGTCCGCCTGCCGATGCAGGGGACACGGGTTCGTGCCCCGGTCCGGGAAGATCCCACATGCCGCGGAGTGGCTGGGCCGTGAACCATGGCCGCTGAGCCTGCGCGTCCGGAGCCTGTGCTCTGCAACGGGAGATGCCACAACAGTAAAAAAAAAAAAAAAAAAAAGGATCCCAGCTTGGAGATGCAGGCAGTTCTGAAATGCCCCCAACTCAGGGCAAAGCTCTAAACCCAGAGACTCCAACAGGCTGCCCTGCTGCTTCAGCTTGTTCCTGGGGATATTCATAAGGCATTTATTCCCTGTGCTCTCAAAGAAGGGCTTAACTCCATTATTTCTAGGGGGCCTGGGGTATTGTAGGGGTAGTTAGTCAATCTCTCAAGGTGATGCCTTATACATATATGGAATGCTCTGGAAAATAAGGACATCTTTTATGATGTAAATACACACACACACACACACACACACACACACACACACACACACTTTATCTCTTCTTGAACAGCTGCCTAGTATTTCATTGTGTGAATATGCCATATCCACCATTAGTGACCTTTTGGGTTTTTTACAGTCTTTCACGAAATTAAACAGTGTCACTGTGAATATCCTTAGACACACATATCTTGTGCACTTGTGTAAATATTTCTTCAGGCTAATGTCCTAGAAGTATAACTGCTAAATCAAAGAGCCTGAGCATTTAACATTTTGATAGATATTGATAAATTACCTTTGAAACAGCTCTATCATTTATAATCTCAACCATACGCTGTGAAAATGCTAATTTCCCACAATTCATCCAGTACTGGGTTTTAGCAATACAGTATTTATAACGTTTACCCAGGTGAAAAAAATTCCAATAATTTAATTGCCTTTCTAGTAGAAAGTTTGAACATCGTTTGTTGCTATTTGGGTTCTATATAATTTTTTTAAATTAATTAATTAATTAATTTTTGGCTGTGTTGGGTCTTCGTTTCTGTGCGAGGGCTTTCTCTAGTTGCGGTGAGCTGGGCCCACTCTTCATCGTGGTGCGCGGACCTCAGTGTCGCGGCCTCTCTTGTTGCAGAGCACAGGCTCCAGATGCACAGGCTCAGTAGTTGTGGCTCATGGGCCTAGTTGCTCGGCGGCACATGGGATCTTCCCAGACCAGGGCTCAAACCCGTGTCCCCTGCATAGGCAGGCAGATTCTCAGCCACTGCGCCACCAGGGAAGCGCTATTTGGGTTCTAATAGTAATAAGCGAGAGATTTTATAACACTGTAATCACTCCAGGTTCCTCTGACTTCATCTATAAAATGGGTCAGAATGCCCACATACGGCAAACCTGTGGCTAAAAGAAATGCAGTTAAATGGAAGATACGGCTTTTATCTGAGGATACTTTGGTTAAAAAATGTGTTATTAAATTCATGTGAAAGCAGCAAAATGACATATCCTATGAAATATTCCAGAAGTTCCATTGGCTTCTCTCCTGCCACTCCAGTTAATAGGGCGTGTTACTGAGGCCTTAATTATTTTGTCATGAATAAACATTGCCTGAATAATGTACAGACTGGACAGCTACTCCTCTAGGAAAAGAAAAAATTATTTGTTGTTTACTTCCATGTGTCAGGCCAGGAAAACCGAGGCTCACCATTAAAAAAAAAATTTGATCAATGAATCACAACTGGCAGGAGAAAGATTGAGTGCTGAAACCTAGGATGTCTGACCCTAAATCCTTGCTCTCCCCTGTACACCGCTCTGCTTTTAGAGGTACCATTTAAACACGTGACATAAATTAATCTATCAAGTTTCAGGTGATGGTCAGAAAAACACACATGAAAGAATTAATTACCCAATTATTCCAGAAAGAATTTGTCTCACTGAATAGAGAACTCAAACCAACTTTAACGCTGTCAAATAAAATACACAACATATAAGATTTGAATGCTGAAAGCTATGTCCTCCCGGCTGCAGAGATGTGCTGTCTATGCTTTCAGATACAAGTCCCTGGAGACAGAGTCTTTCCATCACACCTCCTCAGTGCTTACCAAGCAGTCTTGCTGCACTGAGCACAGGGATGTTTTGTCGAGCAGGTACAGGCTCAGCATGAATGTCTGGGCTACCCCAAATCAAGGTGTCCTGTGCCTCTGACAGCCACTCGGTTCCCCACCAGAGAGAGATCCATGTTAGGGACAGGAAAACCCGAGTCATCATCCCTTGACACCCCGAACCCTTCACACCCAGAGTTGCCTAACTTTGGTTGGGAGAAGAAGAGCTACATACGACAGAGATCTTCTTTTCCACCCGTGTTCTGTCCCCACCCCCTTCCCTACTGTGGAGACCTCAGAATATTCCCTAATGTTTAAAAACATAATTTTTTATGACACAGTTCAAACTGATTAAAAAGTATCACGGGCACCTGTACACTCATCATTCAGCTCTTAAAATACGTTATGGAATGTTTGCTTTGGATTTTTAAAAGAAAACATTTCAGACGTATAATAAAAGTATAAAGATGAACATAATGACCTACCCGTGTACTCTGCAACGCAGCCTCAGAAATATATTCTGTGTGCAGCTCAAGTCCCTCTGTGATTTTCCTCTGGTCACGTTCCCTTTCCTCTCCCACAGAGGTAACCACACTCCTAAATTTGATGCCTGTCATTCTTTAACTTTTCAATTGGCTAAAAACTTCTCTGTCTCACAAATCTTGGTTTGCCGCCTTTGGTATTTCTTTGAATCATTTAAGCTCCTACTTTCAAAAAGCCATGTTGCTTCCTAAATAAAACTTTAGTAGGATCATAAAAAACTAAATCATCAAATGTCTATGTGTCTTAGTTTAGTTTTAAATATGCCAGTGTGTGTGTGTACATTTCAGAAGGCAGATAGAACTATACATTAAAATGAAAATAATTACAGGTTCCCACTAGGCCAGTCTGTTATATATGTTTTCCAGGAACTGGACACATGACAGGAGGTTGCAGCAAAAATATTTTCAGATGACCTCGGCTGTTTCCATGATTCATGATGGTTAGGCGGAAGGGAATATAACGCCCCCAGTGCTGGTGGAAGCTGTGTTCTTAGCGGTGTAATGAACCAGAATATAATATGGTCTAGTTAACTCAACTATAACCGGATTAAAACTTTAATTAATTGAGCTAATAAGCTAGTTTTCCATTAATAAATACCATTGGTTTAATTTAAACACTAATGGTATTTATTAGCCAAAAGACACCAGGGAGTCCTTATCCATAAAAGGTTTTAGCAGGAGGTACTTGGGTTTTCTAGATTGTTTATTGTAAATAAACCTGAAATTTATGGATTTATGGGGCATGGCTGTCTGGCTGGCTGGAGAAAGGAGAGGTGGTATAGCTCTGTAGGCTGTGCAGTTAACAGTATATAAAAGCAGAGGTATTCCAAAATCAAAAATTTGAGTACTGTTTCTGTGTCCACTGCTCAAAAACTCAAACTCATGCGTTATTCCAAACTGAAACACAGCCTTATGTAGAATGTAGGCATTCCTTAATCTCTGTTGCAAGACGAATGGGCTACCTATAAGATTTTAGCGACAAGTGATTTAACGAAACCAGGTCCCAGGAGGAATGATGGCTAGAAACTCATTGCCATCACAACAGGATGCCAAGCTAAGGCTATAGGACACTGAATTTGCACTAAACAAGATTTGTGTTGCTTAGATCCCCATCCAAATGAAGAGGTTACAGTATTGCCTCTAATAAAAGCCATGACAGAAGTACGTATCGCACTGAGTCACCTCACTTAAAGATAGGCTACACTTTGCTGCCCTGAAGGAGGCATTCTGCCTAGAGATGCATTCCGCTTCATCCACAGTGTTTTAAAATTTTTCTGGAATTTAACGCCAGAAGGACATATGCTCTCTGGTTTGTCCCAATCCCACCACTCCCTAATGTTACATGAACTTCAAGTGTTTTTATTATCTTCCTGGGTCCTTCTTGCAAAAACAAACTTACTAAAGGGGAATCATTAATTTTCAGGCAGACTGGGAACTTCAAAAACTAGAAACCAAGCAAACCTCTTGCTTCATTTCAAAGTGAATGGGAGCAGTCCTTAAACAAAATGCCTGTTGGAAAAACACGACATCCATCTGGCTTAGGCTAGAAATTAGGTCCCCATATGAGGTCTGGTTTTCAAGATCAGGTTTCAAAACTCTCATGCACCTTCCTCTCTCCTGCTTGGATGAAAGACACCTGTTATCTCACCAGTTCTCAAAGATGGGATTTGGGGCTTTCCATTTTACAAGACGAGTCAAATAGTGTTTAAGTGATGAAGAACAGAGGTGACACTCAAAAATGTTCAAGTATGCAGCCTTCCCAAGAAAGAGCTCCCTGCAGGAGCTGTGGACATACCCTGGCTGGGCCTCACCTTGGGAGTGTTGCTCCTGTCCCCTGGGCCTGGGGACCAGCTGCCGCTGCTGTTCCAGCCAGCTTCCTGAAAGATGTCAGGACTCCGCTGCCGATGCTGGCGGGACACCACGAGGTGAATGCGCCTTTCACTGGCCTGTGTGATAAGACACAGGTGTTAGCCACTCTGAGCTTCCATTCAAAGCACCCAGCACCAGTAGCTTACCAAGATATGAGTTTGGTTTTACTTTTATGAAAAAAAATTATTTCTAGTATTTTCCATGGCCATGCCCGCTTTGTAATTTAGCAAGAACTTGAGTTATTTCCTTTATCCCTAAATCGGGTAATGAACGTCGCTTCAAGGGAAAAATTAGGGAAGGTTTGACTCATTCAACAGTCTTTGAAAAGACACTGTTGGACGTCGCTAATTTATGTTTAATGAATGGGCTCCACTGCACACAAGCCATGTCTGTAGGACTTTCCAGCTAGAACAGAATGTACAGCGTAAAGTGGTAGCCCAGCCCAAATCCCAGATCAAAGGTCTACGACACAGGTAAACAATAAAGAAAAAGAAATGGAGTTGGTGGCAGCAACACCACCACTGCAGGAAGAGGAATCCTGTGTCTGACAGTTTCAAACATTTGGGCATTGGAAAGGATGAGCGTTTCAGAAATCTGAGGATGACGGCAGGTTATAACGCAGCCTGATTAAACGCCTTTCCCTTGATCCTTTTTTATGTGACAGCCACTAATTGTGATGACTAGTCCTCTCTGCTATGTACCCTGACACTTGGACAGAGCATTGCAAATAGCAAATGCACTGATTATTAGGAAGGTTCATTCCACACCATAAATTTACCTATTGGCTCTCTGCCACAGATGAGTTTCACCTGTGTCTGAGAGTGTGGGTCATTATTCCAGAACTGCTGACTATTGAGGTTCCAGATCTGCAGGCCAGATAGACCAGACCTTGGACCTGTGAGACGTCCAGAACAAGGCTCCCTGATGGTCCAAGATGAAGTAGTCTGCTGACCTCCCTGGCACTTGAGTAAAAGCTGACCGTGGCTAAGTCATGACTAGATTTGATTAGAAACCAGGAAAGGCTAGGTTTGAGGACAAGGAAGGCAGAGAAGAGAGGAATAAGTTCTAGGCGTTCCCCTCTACATCTCATCCCCAGACGGCTCCACACCACAGCACAGATGGACAGTGGCCTGCCTGCCCTCTTGCTTCACAGGCACAGATGTCACACCATGGACAAGTCAGGTCGTGGAAGGAGGCCATGGAAAGTCCACGCTCTTCTCCATGGGCTCAGACAATGGGAGTGGAGATATTCGCTTCCTGCCTCTCCGCAGCTTCCTTCTCATGACCCATAACTCACTCCCACTCTCCGGAACAGGGACCTTATCTTAAAACCTTAAGCAATAAGAACCCACCAATAGATCAAATCCCCACAGTTGTCCAGCCCAAACCTTCATGACTTTACATTCTTATATTAATGTCTCTTCTCGGCGATCTCTTGAAAAAGCTTAGGGGTCATCAGTTGGGTGGCTATACATGAGATGAATGTTTAAAAACACCTGAAGTGCAGTGTCTATTGTAAACATCATGGTGGATGGTGGGCCAGGAGGGTTGACTCATTTCACATAAATGTAGGAAACCCTACAAAGAAAGTCTAAGTCCTTCACTCACTCTCCTTCACATCATCACCTCTGCTGCCCTGCCCAGTCATCACTTACATACCCTTCCTCTGTTCATTTGCCTATCTTGAATTCCCTGGTGTCTCTCATCATATATAAAGCCTGTGTCACAACAGGATAAAAAATAACAAGCCCAGGAAACAATACTGAAGTAAGCTGACATGAAGAACTATGGTATTAACCAACTAAACTGAGTTCTTGGAAGAATATTTTGTAATAACTGTCTCTTTCTTTATACCGTAGGCCTCACTTATCCAAATGAGGTTATCTCATTTGGAACTTTCTGAAGGAAAAATTACTAAAAGATAAGAAGTGGCAAACATTCAAGTCAAAACTTCAACTGCTGAGCCCAGATGCGCTCCTTATCTTCAGGGAAACTCCGACGTTTTGAAGGATCTCAGTGGTGGCGGTGGGTTTGTGTCCAGGCCCACATGTTGTACCATGTCAATTCAGGACCAGCAGCAGTGGCAGGCCCAACCAGCTCATGATAATTGAGAAAATCTGAGACTTTTACATACTGAATCAACTTGCTACGCAAAATCCCAAATGCCAAGAAGTAGCCTAAGAGCTATTTAATTCACATTTTCCAGCACGAATTTCTCACTGGATTTTCAAATGCCGGCTTTGGCGGGAATACACCCCAATAAATAGCCCTGGTATCAACTTACTTGGAAATAAATTCCCTGCAAGGCTGGATCTCCAGCTCTTACCAGCCACCTTATAAATTGCTCTCAGAGAGATTCTATTTGATGCTTTCTTACCAAGCATTTGAAGTTGAAGGTGGAAAATGGGCTAATGTGTTTATCCTGGCTCTAATTCTCAGCAATAGCTGGATTCAGTGTCAAGAAATGGCCCTTAGCACCAGATAGCCTTTCTTTCCACTGGTGTGAATGTGAGGTGAGTGTGAGAAGAGGGGCGTCACAGAAAGACTGAATGAAGGAGAGAATGGCACGAACTTGTTTATTTCATACTCACATAATCTGTGCCAGGAAGATGGGGGCAGCAGGCCTGTCATTTAAATGACAAACCTCGGGACTTCCCTGACTGTCCAGTGGTAAAGAATCCGCCTTCCAATGCAAGGGACACAGGTTCTATCCCTGGTCGGGGAACTAAGATCCCACACGCCATGGGGCACCTAAGCCCACAGGCCACTACTACTGAGCTCGCGTGCCTCAACTAGAGAGACTGTGTGCTGCCAACTGCAGAGCCCACGCACTCCGGAGCCCATGTGCCACAACTGCAGAGTCCAAGTGTTCTAGAGCCCACATACCACAATTAGAGAAGAGAAAACCCACACACCACAACTAGAGAGAAGCCCGGGCGCTGCAACAAAAGATTATGCATGCCTCAGTGAAGATCCCGCATGGCGCAACTAAGACCGACGCAGCCAAAAAATAAACAAACAAAAATAAATTTAAAAAAAATAACCGACACTCAAAGGAAGAGGGAGCACAGCATCTTTCTTGCATTTCTTGGGATGCTGTAATTTGGGCAAAAGGACTGTTTAACAATTGTGACTCTTTCAAGTGGCAGACCAGGCTAGAGGTAAATCCTTTTTACTTTTTCCTCTCCTCTCTTCTCCTCTCCCTTAAACATTCTAGATCTAGACAAATTCTGGACACAGTGGTTACCAGTTGCACAGCCTGGCTGCTGTATCATTTTCTTTCTACTCTAAGAGCCCAAGCATTAACTCCCTCTTCTCCTTTCTTTGGCTAGGGGGAAGGGATTCTGCTGGCCTCTATGTTCTCCCCTGTGGACCTCCGCTTGTTGGCAGGTCTCTTCTACAAACATTCTGTCCCTGTGGCTGACAGGTGCCTGCTCTGGACCAGCCACTGCACTAAGAGCCTTGGGAACACGGCTCCTGCCCTCAGAGAGCTTGTCCTACTTCAGGGAGAGTCAGAAGCAGGGGCCAGGAAAGAGATATGGGTAGCACACAAAGGAGTCTCCTGAGGTGGGACCAATTGCTTCCAGCTGAAAAAAACAGGACAAATCTCATATTCAGAGAAAACCAGAGGGCTAAAACCGAGTAGCATTTCTCATGGAAAGGCTTGTCTTTGTTTTGTTTGATGACTTTCTCTCTGCGCTTTTGAGATTTGACTCAAAACTGCGTATATTGTTTATACGATGGGAGTAAGCAGAGGTCACGGAAGGCAGCCATAGGCCGGCAGCCTCATTTATATTTAGCCCATTTCAAAATAATACGATCCCATCTCTTACAGCTGGAAGGAAGAGTCTGAGAGCGCTACACTAATGCCTCACAGGGCAAGCATCTTCCATCGCGTTCACCTTGGAAATGGCTCTTTTCTCTACAAAATCCACTATGGTTCATAAGAACTGCAGGGTGCAACATGGACCAGAAGCTTCACAGAGAGATGTAAATCAAAGATGCCACTGCACAAGGGGCCAGGAGAGGCATTTTGCAGAGCTGTGAGCCCAGGGAGACTTTGTACTGACCCAGTGTTGCATGGGTCCATGCGGTGGCTGTTTAGCCAGTAATAACTAGGGCAGAGTAAGAGTTGATAGAGTACCTGTACTTCAAGGTGTGATGTAGCCAAAGGCTCTACCTATTCATTTGCGAAGGAAGATTGGAGTTAAACCAAATGTACTCTAGCATTTGCTGCTTTTTAACCATATATACATATATATATATATATATATGCATATGCTTAAAAAAAACATTTGGTAAACTGTAATTCATGTGGGTTTGGTCACTGCATTGATATATTAGCTTCATAAAATATCAAGTTAAGAGCTACCACACTCGTGCCCCCTCAATGCCACAGGGTATAGTTCTACACAAACACATAAAACAGAGGACTCCAAACTGACTGTTGGGCATTGAGATTGTGCTGCCCTCAGCAGACAGACCATGTACACGGCCCCCTTTATGACATAGTATAGACCCACTTGACTGGAGGTCCCTCTTCTTACAGAGATAAGAGCTGTAGTTGGATTTATAATAATAAGCTATTTACAGAGTTCGTCTCTACTTAGTGCTCCAGCCATTAGCATCAGAGGTCTTTTTTTTTTTTTTTTACAAATAATTATAGTTTTTTTTATTTCCAAAGATACTGTAGTATATAATAGAATGTTACATGTCACGTGCAAGATGCAATAACTCTTCCTATCCCTTCAAAGGAATATCCCAGCCAGAGGTCACTCTGTGGGAAGATTGAAAAACATTGCTGCTATATAACTCTTCCCATGGCATTATAGTTTCTATCCTCAAGAGGTCATAGACTCCACTGTATTTGATAGAATCTGGGTCTAAGACTGGCTCAGGTCTGGAATCTGAGAGAGGGATTGTGATTTTTCAATACCAGCTATAAGCCAAGAGAATTAACTGTTAAACTATGAAAAGCAGTAAGAGTTTGGTTATTTTACGGAATAAAACACCAACACTAACAATCAGCGATTTTCTTATATATCTTTTTTTTTCAAGGTAACAGTAGTGTTTTTTT